ATTACTTGAAATGCTTTAGAGATGCAAAATACGGTCTTTGGGGGTCATTTAGAGGGATATATATCTATTCTTCATTTCAAAAGATACATGACCTGGTGTGGTGGCACAAGCCTGTAATCCCAGCACTGTGGGAACCTGAGGCAGGAGGATCCCAAGTTTAGTTCAGCCTAGGGAAGTTAGTAATTTAGGAAGATCCCAGGGTTCAATCCCCAGTACTGAAAAAATGAAAAGAAACCCCAAAGGGAGATGAAATATCATTCTAGTGATTCAGGTTTTTTTTCCAGTTGTTTTTTTTTTTTGGTACCGGGGATCAACCTTGGGACCTTGCACTTTCGAGGCAGGCGCTGGAACCACTGAGCTAAATCCCCGGCCTTTTTTTCCAGTTTTAAGTAATTCAATAATGGAAAACATGAGAGCTCCCTTCCCACCCACCTTTTAAAATCCATTGGAGGAGCCAGGGTTGGTGCAGGGGTACAGGTTGGTCGTGGCCCTGTGAGGATGCTGGACCCAAGGTAGGATCAGGAGGGCGTCTTTGTCACTTTCCTTGTTGCTGGGACCAATACTTGACAACTTAAAGGAGAAGTTTATTTTGGGTCACAGTTCTTTTTTTTTTTGGTACTGGAGATTGAACTCAGGTCCCTGCACTTGCAAGGCAGGCACCGGAACCACTGAGCTAAATTCCAGGCCTGGCTCACAGCTTTTAGAAGTTTCAGTCTATAGTGGGCTGGCTCCAGGCAGGAGCAGCATGGTGGAAGGGCCTGGCTAGAAGAAAGCTGCTCAGTTCCTGGAAGCCAGGAACCAGAAAAGGGGGGAGCTGGGGATGGAGATTACACCCTCCAGGTCACAGCCCTGGTGACCCACCGCCCTGACCAGGCCCCACCGCCTAACATCAGGTTTAGCCCTAGAGCCCCCGTGATGCAATCACCCTTCAAAAGCCCCACCTATGAGGGCATGAGGTTTTGGGGGTCATTTAGATCTAAGCCATAACCAAGGGTGAGGAAGTGATGGCAACAGTGGTTTGGTGAGGGTTTAAGAGTCTGTGAGTAGGGCTGGGGATTTAGCTCAGTGGTTTCGGCCCCTGCTGCCCAAGGGCAAGGACCTGAGTTCGATCCCCGGTACCAAAAACAAAACAAGAGTCTGTGAGAGGTGAAAAGGGCATCCAGATGTGGATGGTGGCAGAAAGAGATCGGTGATATATGACCTAATAGAAACAGGGGTGTGTGTGTGTGTGTGTGTGTGTGTGTGTGTGTGTGTGTGTGTGTTTGGTACTGGGGCTTAAACCCAGAGCATTTGAACTGATCTACATCCCTAGTTCTTTTTAAATTTATTTATGTGTTTATTTTTGTGGTACTAAGGATTGGACTCAGGGCCTTTACACTGAGCTGCATCCCCAGCATGACCCCCCCCCCAGCCCCCTTTTATTTTTCTGAGGCAGTGTCTTGCTAAGGCATTAACTTATTCAGGCTGGGCTCAAATTTGTGATCTTTCTGCCTCAGCCTCCTAGAGTGCTGGGATTATAGTCATGTACCACCTCTCTCAGTTTATTAGTCAGCTTTTCTGCTGCTGGGACACAAAACCCAACACCCACAATTTAAAAGCAGAGTGTTAATTTAGGTCACCGTTTCTGAGGAATTCAGTACATGGTCGGCAGGCTCCAAGAAATATCGAAAGGGAAGGCTGTGGTGGAACAGAGTTGCTTTGTTTATGGTGGCAGGAAAGCAGGGCAGGGAGGAAGGGGCATGGGCAGATTAGTACCCAGTGTCTCGCCTCCACACCCAGACACCCCAGCAGTGTAGTTCACCAAACCCCCCAGGCAACATTAAGACTGTCAAGTTGACACAATCAAGCTGAATCATCACACCAGGTATTTTTTAGAAAGACAGTGTCTTGATACAGTCCAGGCTGGCCTCAAAAACCGATTTTCCTGCTTCAGCTTCCCAAGTGCTGGGATTACAGATATGTGGTACTGCGCCTGCCTGGGGATCAGCTTTCTTCTGTTAGAAAAAGGAGTTATAAATAGAGAAGGGGAGAGATTTACAGTAAATCTTGTGGTGTTGGGTTGGAATCAAAGGTATGGAGTTGAACTGCTTGTTACTGGGTATGGAACCCAGAGTCTTTGGACTGAGCTACATCCTCACACCTCTTTTTTAAAATTTTGAAACAGAATCACACTAAGTTGCCAAGGCAGGATTTGAATTTGCAGTCCTCCTGCCTCATCCTCACAAAGTGCTGGGATTATAGGTGTTTGTCATGGTGCCCAGCTCGAGCTGAGTTTTGAGTATGTTTTAATAGAAGTAAATGTGCTCTAGTATATATTCTTGAGCTGTCTACTGAGGGCCTGGAGCAGGAACACAATAGACGTGAGCACACTTAGTGCTCCATTCTGAGGTTTTCTTTTTCTAAACACCTCTCCTCTAAAAGAAAGCAGAATTCCTTGGGGGCAGTGGTGATTCCAGATTGGGTACAGAAAGTACAAGATGAGCCTGGAATAACTTGTTTTGGAAGTACTCAAAGGAAATGTCAAGGGGTCTCAGAAGTCAGTCTGAAGGAGCTCCCACTGGCCAAATCTGGGACAATATAAATGTTAAAATAGCAATGAGCTGGCATGGTAATTCCAGTACTCTGGAAGGCTGAGGCAGGAGGATCGTGAGTCCAAGTCTAGCTTGGATAATTTCGTCTCCTAGTGAGACCCTGTCTCGAAATAAAGCAAAGAAAAGCAGTGGAGATACAGCTCTGTGCAAAGATCAATCCTGAGTACCGCAAACCAAACCAAAACCCCACAATGGACTATAATCATTAAATAAAACAAAAATCTAGGGCTGGGGATTTAGCTCAGTGGTGTTGCCGCCTGCCTTGCAAGCACAAGGTCCCGAGTTCAATCCCCAGTACCAAAAAACCAAAACAAACCAAAACAAACCAAAAATCTAAACCGGGCATGGTGCTGCATGACTCCAATCTCAGCTATCACAATCTTCCTGTCTCAGCCTCCCAAGTAGCTGGCATTATAGGCATGCATTATGGTACCTGGATCTTACAAAATACTTGTATCACAGGACATAGTGCAATAGGAAAAACAGGATCACTTCTAATATTCTAGCATCGTATGAATAACCTGAACCAAATTATAAGGAAACACCAAGTCTCATCTGAATTTACAAAATAGCCCATAATCTTGTTTGTTTGTTTTTTTTGGTACCGGGATCGAACTCGGGTCCCTGCACTTGCGCAGCAGGCAGCGAAACCACTGAGCTAAATCCCCGGCCCTGTAATCTTGTGTTTTTGAGACATGGTTTCACTAAGTCCTTAAATTGCCCAGGCTGGACTTGAACTTGGGATCTGCCTGCCTCAGCATCCCGAAGTGCTGGTATTTGCCACCATGCCCAGCTATCCTTCAGTTTGTTTTTTTCCTCTTTTCATTTTGAAAAGTATTCCTACTTTCTGAAATTTGGGTTATTAGAAAAAAAATGCTTGGGGCTGGGGATTTAGCTCAGCAGTTTCGCCGTCTGCTATGCAGGCGCAAGGACCCAAGTTCGATCCCTGGTACCAAAAAAAAAAAAAAGAAAGAAAAAAATTGCTTATCTTGCCCCATTTTCACTTAGGTAAAATAAGGCAATTAAGAGTATTTATTATTTTTTGTTTTTTTGAGACCGTTTCATTCTGTAATTTAAGCTAGCCTTGAATTCACAATGTTGCCCAGGCTGGCCTCAAATTTGTTATCTTCCTGTCTCAGCCTCCTTAGTGCTGCGATTACAGGCACATGCCATCACACTCAGCTGAGAATATTTAAGTTGAAGCTGGGCATATAAAATACATACATATCTATGTATCTACAAATCCAAATATAGATATGAAGAATTAAAAATTCTGTATTTACTAAATTAAAAAATGTACCCAGGGCTGGGGATTTAACTCAGTGGCACTGCACCTGTCTTGCAAGCACAATGTCCTGATTTCAATCCCCAGTACTGCAAAACAAAACAAAAACAGCAAATCCCTCAAAGAAAAGACAGAACAATAACAACAACAAAAATATACCCTATCCATGTATGGCCTATCAGGAGGGAACATGTACAAGGGATTATATGGATGATTAGCACATTCACAAGTGATATGGCTGAAATTAGGACAATTCCTTTTGTGTAAAACATTTAAGGGCATAATTTAAAATATGAGACAATTCTGCTAAAAGTAAAGATCATTTTATTTTGAGAGGTTCTCACTCTGTAGTACAGGCTGACCTTGAACTCACTATGCTGCCCAGGCTGTCCTCAAACTCGTGGTAATCCTCCTGGCTCAGCTTCCCAAGTACTGTGATTATAGGTGTGCATCACCATTCTTGGTTAAAGATCCTTTTAATACTTTAGGCACACATTAGAAGGGGAACAATGTATGAAAATTCCAGAGAACCAAAATTTAAAGTGGAGACTAGTATTTATTTAACAAGGATACCACATCAGGACCTTGCAGGTGCAAGGCAGGCTCGGTGCCACTGAGCTAACTCCCTGGCCCAGGATACCACATTTTGAAGCTTATTCTAGGGAAAGCATCCTAAGACAGAGGATTCTTTCCAACTTGCTTCTCCTGTGACTTAATGGGATAATTAGTCATCATTTTATGTATGAACTGCAATTGCAAAGCCAAGTTATTGGAACTTGAAAATTTAACGAAACTTAATAGTAAAGCGAGACTTGTCATATATAACAACTTTACCTGGAATAAATCTTTTTTTGGTGCTAGAGATCAAACTCCAGGGTCTTGTACATTCTAAACATATGCCATGCCCTATCTGTATGTTTCTTGTGGTTCTGGGAACTAAACCCAGGGCCTCTGTACTGAACTATATCCTTAGCCTTTTTTGTATTTTGAGGCAGCGTTTTCTTGCTAAGTTTGTTTTCTAGTCTGGGCTTGAACTTGTGATCCTCCTTCCTCAGTTTCCCAGAGTGTTGGGAATACAGCTGAGCACTGCTACACTTGGCAAACCCTAGCTTTAAAATTCATAATTTCAACGAACAAAATTTCATTTATTGAAAAAATCTATTGTTATAAAATGATAAGACAGAATGAAAACTCAAACAACTTGCAAAAAGTTTACATTAATATTAATGGGCTTCACAGATAAGACAAAATTGTTTATCTTGTTGCTTTCTTTTGTTTTTGTTTTTGAGACAGTGTCTCACTTTGTATTTCAGGCTGGCCCTGAACTATGTGGCCCAGGCTGGACTCGAGCTCACAACAATTCTTCTGCCTCAGCCTCCCAATATTTATCTTGTTAATAAGCAAGTTTTCCTAGGTTCAGGGTTAAATTTTTTCGAATTTCTTTTTTCTTTGCTGTACTGGGGACAGAACCTAGGGTCTTGCATGTGCCAGGCAAGCTCTCTACCACTGAGCCACACCCCAGCCCTTGTTTGATTTTTTTTTTTTTTTAGACTGGGTCTTGCTATGCAGTTTAGGCTGGTCTGAACTCCCAGCGATCTGTCTGCCTCAGCCTCCCGAGTACTGGTACTGGGATTACAGGAACGTCCCATCAAGCCCAGCCCCTGTTTGCACATTAACAATACACTATTTAGAGACATTCTTTTTAAAAAATCTGAAACAATGAGCTTGAGTCATGTCAGGAGCAGGTGCCCTTCAGCTGGTACTGGGCTGAAGAGGTTTTCGGTATTTGCACTGAACCCAAACTCGGTACATTGTCAACTGTTTTCCTCGGTTCACCTGCAATCGGCGATCCACCAGATTCTGCACCTTTTCCAGTCCTGCAGTAGTGAAAAGTGTGTCCAATTCACCTGGTTTGGAAAGAGATGTTTATTTTTCCATGAAAAAGAGGCATTTTGTCAACTACTTCTCATGTTAGAAGTGATTCATGCAGTGGTCGCTTGGTAACAGCAAGTTAATGTTCAAGTTGGGGAAGGCTTTCGAAGGGTGGCCTAGAATCCAAGGGACAGTCACTAGTGATGTGTGTGTATATATATATATATATTCTCCCCCCGCACCCCCTTTTTTACTGAAGATAGATGCTAAGCAAGGACTCTAGTACTGGGCTAAATTCCTAGGTTTTTTTTGGAGACAGGGTTTCACTGTGTACTTCAGGATGTCTGGCCTTGAACTCACTAGCCTCGAACTCATGGTGATCCTTCTGCCTCTGCCTCCCTAGTGCTGGGATTATAGGCATGCGCCACCACACTTGGCTTTTTTTTTAAACAAAAATCTCTATATTTGTCTGTGAAAACAATTTTTTTAGGGGCTTCATCACTTTATCCAAAAGTTCAAAGTATGTGACTCAAGGAAGAACTCAAGAATGGAGTATTCATGAAGCATCGATGGAAGATGAAGCTTTTGGACAGGTCAAACAACAGAGGGGATCAGTTCCTGGCTCCTCACTCTGACGCAGCTGCACCTAAAGCATAGCCTGGTAGACAGGCGAACCAGCCTGACGTGGGGACGAGTCTTGTGAGACAGGCAGGTTCCCGTTTTGGATAAAGTAAAAGAAAGGAGAAAACACAGCAGTGAACTGAAGGCCAGCACAAGCTGTGGCTGTCTGGGGACCAGTGAGCAGCTCAGAGTGACCTGGGGACAGTGAGTGTGGAAAAGCGGAAACTTCAGGGGAAAGGCTGCCTAAAGGGCAGGAGGGGCTAGATGATTTTCCTTGTGAAACACACTGAAGACTGTATGACCTGGTATTCTGGGGTCCTTTTGCATAAATAAAGATCACGTTTTTCATACCTTGAGTGAAGAAGTAAACTCTGGTGCCATCACCTCTCACATAAAAATTTCCAGACAGACACTGACCTGCAGAATGACATCATAAAAATCAAGGAACTTTAAAGCATGTCTTCGAATTTCATCACCAATCTTTTTTTTTGGTACTGGGGGGATTGAACTCGGGACCTTGAGCTTTCGAGGGAGGTGGCAGAACCACTGAGCTAAATCCCCAGCTCAACTTCACTTTTTTTTTGTGGTACCAGGGATCGAACTCAGGACCTTGCATTTGCCAGAGAGGTGCAGTGCCACTGAGGTACATCCTCAGCCCCTACAACATGCTTCTATCCAGGGTATTAACTTTGTTTCCAAGACTTTGGTTAAACATATATATTAAGTGCCTTAAAACAAAACAATGTTGAATGATTCCCCCAAAGACTACTGGACTGAACAATACCAGGGTGCTTTAAAAAAGACTATGGCTGAGGCCAGTATATTAGTACACAACTGTAAATCCCAGCACTGTGGGAGGTTGAGGTAGGAGGATCTCAAGTTCGAGCCCAAGGTGAGTAACTTAGTGAGACCCTGTCTCAAAATAAAAAACATAAAAAGGGCTGGGCATGTAGGTCAATGTGAAGGCTGTGGGCTCAATCCCCAGTATGGAAGTGGGGAGAAAAAGGCCATAGAAATTTATATTTCTACCAGAAATGGAGATGTGTCCCTTTTTCTTTGAATTGATCAGCAAGAGGGTTAAGAAGAATCATCTCTTTTTATCTACTTCTTTGAAGTTTTGTTTACTGGCCATTTAGATATGCTTTCATGTGAATGGTTTTTGGGGTGGGTCACTGGGCTTTTCCTTATCAATTGCAGGACAAGCTTTTGAAAAGACTGTGTATCTTTTCAATTTGTCGCTTGTTTTTCAATTTTTAATTTTTTTTGGTGCTGGGAACCAACCCATTGTCTTCAAATGTTGTTTACTTATTTACATTGCTGAGAACTGAACTCAGGGCCTTGTGCATGCCAGGAAAATGCTTTACCACTAAGCTACACCCACAGCTCTCTTGTAACATTTTTTAAAAACAAATTTTATTTTATCCCTTTCCCCCTTGTAATCCCCCCCCACCCAGGGACTGAACTCAAGACCTTGACCTTGCAAGGCAGGCAAGGTGCCACTGAGCTAAGTCCCCAGGCCCCCCCCCCCGTAACTTTTTAATGGCATCTTTTGTCATACTGCATTTAAAATTACTAATGTATTCAAATATTTTCTGAAAATAGCAATTCTAAAGTAACTGTCTTCCCTTGCTGTACATTAAATGGTTTTACATACAGGACTCTACTTCTAGAATCTCCTTCCAATGAACTGAATGTTGATGGCAAAACCATCATTTTGATTACTGTGGCAAATACCTTTTTTAAACCGGAGCTGAGCCATGTCATAACGGCCATAATCTCGTAGAACCATCACCCCTCCAGACTTCAGAAGCCTGCTCAGCCTGTTTACAACTTTCTGCATCCTGTGGAACAATGAGGGATAAAGATTAGGTTTCCTTAGGGACAGGGTTCCTTTTCATTGGAGCACACCCCCTCCCCCAAAACTAAAGGACTTCCTAACTCTGATATACCAGCCCTGAACCATCGCTTCTCTGCCCTTGCTGCAGTTAGGAGAGGCCCAGACAACCTACTCCAGGAACACTGTTATTACTCTGGGTCACTCCTTCCGGTCCTGGCATCACCATGTCCGCCTTGGGCCCTGGGAGCCCTGGCCACTCATGGGGACTGCAAGTCACTGATCTGCTGCCCCACTAGATCCAAACTCTCTCAATGCAGATTGTGCTTTCTGTTTCCAGAATGCTGGGATTATAGGCATTCGCTACCACTAGTGGTTTAAATGAATTTGTACTTTGTCTGGTGATACAATCAGCATACAAATGACTACTACAGGTACAGTGCTTTACATGTGACTTCACTTTCCATGGGCACTGCTAGCTTCTGGATGTAGAATATTCCCCAAAGGCCCCTATGTGGTCCCTGGCATGCCGCTATTGAATATGGCAGAGACTTGAAGAGGTGGGGCCTCGGGGAGGTCATTAGGTTACTGGGGATGTATTGTTGAGAGGATTGTGGGAACCTACTTCCTTCTTCCTCTTTTTGCCTCCTGGCCATGAGGTAGTCCATTTTTTCCCTTCATAATGCGCTGCCTTGTTGCAGGCCTAAGAGCTAATACGGCCAAATAACTGGAATGTAGCTTGGAAATCAAAAGTCAGAATAACCATTTTTCTCTTTAAAAGTTGATTATTTCAGTTATTACTTTATAGTGACAGAAGGCTAATATATGCAGTACTCTTCAAAAACTGTGGGGTAGGATTAAGCATTCATACATTTGGGAACACACGTGCTACAAACTTTCTAAATGTATTTCAGTGTCATAATATCCCTGTTAGGTGAGATGACTTTGAAGCTATTCTAAAGCAAAAGTAGGCCAGAGAACTAGGTCAACCAGTCCAAGCTCCAGCCCAGTGGAGCCACGATTGGGTCCTTGTCATCTTTAGTCATGTGATCTGATTTTCTGATACCTGCTTACTTTGTTACCTAATTTTTTTTTTTTTTGGTTCTGGGGATCAAACTCAGGACCCTATGCTTTTGAGGCAGGCCATGGAACCACTGAGCTAAATCCCCAGCCCTTAGCCTGGTTGCTTTGACCTCTAACACAAATTACCTCAGATCCTTTGGCCTTGACATTCACAAAGTAGACAGCTGTTTTTTGGTTTTGTTTTTTGAGACAAGGTCTCACTATGAAGCCCAGGCTGGCCTCAAACTTGTGGTGATCCTCCTGCCTCAGGGCAGACATGAGGTCTCTAAGAAACTACACTAGCCCCAGAATTTTGGTGTGTTTGGTACATGCCAAGCCCCTTACCTCTGTTTTGCCTTACTTAAGTCAAATAGTGTCAAGGGCTTGTCTGGGATTAGTCAATGGTGCCTGAATCTTTCTGACTCTACTGCCTTGAGACAGTTCCATGGATAGTACACAAGACCTGAGGTTTGTTCTTCTTTCTTTCATTTTTAAGAGATAAGATCACTTTATATTGTCCAGGCTGGCCTCATGCAACCTTCCTGGCTCAGCCTCCTTAGTAGCTAGGACTACAGGTGTGTGCGTGTGCCTGGTTTTGTGTGTGTGTGTGTGCGCGCGCGCATGCGTGCGCTATGAACTGAATCCAGGCCTACACACACTAAGCAATCTATCACTGAGCTATAACCCCAGGCCCCTGCACATAGGGGTTTTTTTTTTTTTGAGATCCAACTCAGGACCTTGTGTTTGCAAGGCAGGCACAGTGCCACTGAGCTAAATCCCTGTCCCCATACGGTTTTAATATCTTTTGTTTTGTTTTGTTTTGTTTTGTTTTTTTGTATCAGGGATCCAACTCGGGTCCTTGAGCTTGCGCAGCAGGCGGCGAAACCACTGAACTAAATCCCCAGCTTTAGTATCTTTTAAGGTACAGTATTTGACTTTCCTTTTATTGAAACCTGATTTTGTGGAATTCAATTTCTGAAAAACTTAAGCTTTAGAAAACACTCTAGTTGAGCTTCAATGTAAATTCTGTACTGTTAATAAGTTTGTTTTATTTCAATTACTTACAAGACCAATATCTAGTTTTTGTGTGTGTGTGGGTGGCACGGTCTCGCTATGAAGTTCAGGCTGGCCTTGAGCTCATTATGTAGCCCAGGCTAACCTCTAACTTGTAGCAATCTTCCTGCCTCAGCTTCCGGAGTGCTGGGGTCACAGGCGTTTGCCACCATGCCCAGCTACAAGATATTATCTAACAACTGTGGTACCCACAGCTTGGAAATAGGAGGCTTTAACAATATCACACACTCTGAAAATACACTGTTCTTCCACCAAAGTGGTGAAGAACCAAGCCTGAAGGTAACCGAAACAGAAGGTACATGTCAAGACTATGCACGCTGTGGCTTATTCACGTCTACAAGAAGGTAAAGGAAACACTTTTTATTTAGGACCCTTACTTCAAGGTCTCTGACCAAAGCTTTGTTTTTGTTAGGCTATTAGTTAAGGGACCTAAAACTTACTTGTCTGGAACAATTGCTGAAAGAACAAATATGAGAACAATGACATCAATACTGTTCTCAGGCACTGGGTAACTCTGATCTCCATCACAAAGATCATGAACAAAGGCAAAACAGCGAGATGGATCATATTCTGAGTTTGTCTGCAAGCAAGTAGAAAGACAAGTGGGTCAGAAAACGTGAAAACATCCTGGAGAAAAGCTTCTCTGGCTTAAATGTCATTTGCTACTTCTAGCTGAGGGGCTTATTTCTAGTCACTACAGCACAAAGTTTTCTAGGGGACTTAGGGAGTAAGAATCAGACGAACCCAGGGAAGGTCCTGTAGAATCTAAGTGGTACTTTTAAAATTGAATATTCTAACTCCTTTCAGTTTTTATTTGATGCATTTTCTGTGATTACCATGTATGGAATCAGATCTGAGGACTGGAGAATGATCAGGAAAGCAAATGACCAACAAAGAATAAAACTTAATGGGGGAAAGACAAACTGTATTTAAAAAGCATGATTTAAAACAACTCCCCCCCCACCAAAAAAACCTCAACTCCCTATAGAATATCACATAGACCACAGAATTCTCCAGGAAAATCCACTTCTTTAGATATAAGAAAATTTAACCTACACTTTGTTACTATACAATTAAGGAGGTTAGCCTTGGTACTCATCTGGTCTTTTTTTTTCTTTTGAGACAAGGTATTATGTAGCCCAGGCTAGCCTCCAACTTGTGGCAATCCTCCTGCCTCAGCCTCCCATACAGATGTGTGCCACCATGCCCAGCCATTCATCCGGTCTTGAGCTACAATAATTCAGAAAGATAGAGTCACTAATTCCTGAGCTCCGGTGCTAGAAGCAGCATGTATTATAGTTAATAGATACATTTTAGGGTATCTTCCCTAGTCATGTCCCACTTCTCAAAAAACTGTGACTTTGTTCCTCACTGGCCAGAGCAGAGTAAACAGGGCAAGTAATTTATGAGGTAGGCTGTGTCAACCAGGCTCTGGGGACTTTGGAACTGGACTAGTCTCTCTGGTGAGGGTCTGTGAATACCTGAATAGGGTGGACTTGTAAGGGATTGGGAGGAGCAAGCATGTCAGGATCAAGTGCAAACACAGTAAACTCTACTAGAAAAAGATGGTTTGATAAAAAGAAAGAAAAACGGATACCAAGCAGTGAGGGGTCAGCACCATGAGCTTGAGGGTGCTGTGATAGGAGGGCCAACACCACCTCATCAGCTACCTGCTTTCTCTGGTATGTGACACCTTTTCAGGCTAGGGATACACACTGTACTCTTAGCTTCTAAGAATTCCCCTTGGGGCCGGGGATTTAGCTCAGTGGTTCTGC